TGCCGCGGCTCTCGCGAGCCGTGACGGCATCAACGAGCGCAGGGAGGGACGGAGGAGGAGGAGGAACGGGAGGAGGAGCTGTGGTGCTGTCGCTTCGCTGTGTCACGGCCATGGAGTACCTGATCGGCATCCAGGGCCCCGACTATGTCCTGGTGGCCGCGGACACCGTGGCGGCCGCGGACACCGTGGCGGCCTCGAGCATCGTCCAGATGAAGCACGGTGAGACCCGCGCGGAGAGCGTCCCGCGGGGAATCCCGGGGTGTCCCCATGGGAATCCCGGGGTGTCCCGGTGGGAATCCCGGGGTGTCCCGGTGGGAGCCCACGTGGGGTGTCCCGAAAGGGTATCCTGGTCTGAGTCCCACTAGGGTATCCCCGGGGGTGTCCCGATAGGGAATCCCGGGGGTGTCCCGGTGTGAGCCCCAGTGGAGTGTCCCGGTGGGATGTCCCATGGGGTATCCCAGAGGTTATCCCAGGTGGGGTATCCCAGGGGGTATCCCGAGGGTATCCCAGGTGGGGTGTCCCATGGGGTGTCCCAGGTGGTATCTCAGGTGAGATGTCCCATGGGGTATCCCAGGTGCTATCCCAGGTAGAGTGTCCCATGGGGTATGCCAGGGGTTATCCCAGGTAGAGTGTCCCATGGGGTGTCCCAGGTGGTGTCCCATGGGGTACCCCCGGGGCTGTTCCAGGGGGTGTCCCAGGGGCTCCAGGCAGGGATGCTGTGTCTGGGCGTGATGCTCTGTCAGGCTGTGCACAGGTGAAGGTGCAGGAAGGCACTGCTGGTTATTTGCTGAGGGTTATTTGCTGCCAGGTGGTCCTGGTGCTCAGAGCCTCCCCAGGGTTGGCAGTGCTGCCTCCTCCAGGTAAAATTCCCAATCCGGAGCCAATATATCCACACCATTCTGCGTTTCCACATGTGTAGATTATCTTGACTTACCTGTTCATTTAACTGTTGGTTCTAAGTAGGTTTATTCCTTGAGGAAAGTGTGCTTAGAACATAGGGTTTATTTGGGGTTTTGGGGAGGTAAAAGCCCCATAATTTTCAGATATTTATTTAGAATATTGGTGTTTGCTAATGTTTGCTTTAATTTGTAGATTAATTTTCAGCCTGGAGAAGAGAAGCTCCAGGGTGACCTAATTGTGGCCTTCTGGTACCTTAAGGAGCAAGAAAGATGGAGAGAGACTGTTGACCAGGGCTTGGAGGGACAGGACACAGGGAATGGCTTCCCACTGCCAGAGGGCAGGGATAGATGGGATACTGGGAAGGAATTGTTCCCTGGGAGGTGCTGAGGCTCTGGCACAGGTTGCCCAGAGCAGCTGTGGCTGCTCCATCCCTGGCAGTGTTCCACGCCAGGTTGGATGGGGCTTGGAGCAACCTGTGCTGGTGGGAGGTGTCCCTGGCCATGGCTCTAATGTTGTCTTTCTTTGCCTAGACCATGACAAGATGTTTAAGATGAGTGAAAAAATCTTACTGCTATGTGTGGGGGAGGCTGGAGACACAGTGCAGTTTGCAGAATACATCCAGAAAAATGTTCAGCTCTACAAAATGAGAAATGGTGAGTGAAGCAGGACAGGCCCTGGGGGCTGGGGAGGAGTTAGGGGTGGTTTTCAGGTGAGTGTTGGTGAGAAGGGCTGTCCTCGAGGCTTCTGTCCTCAAAGCTTCTCTGGCTGAAAGGATTTCTGCATTTTCAATGTCCAGCAAATGTGTCAATGCAGTATGCAGGAAATTGGATTGTGTAGTCTAAATTAAGAGGTTTATCCTAATCCCAGCTCACCTCTTTGTATTATAAATGACACAGATATTTTGCTTACAAACCTTATTCTCTTAGCATGTCCATTGCATGCCAGCTGTCACCAGTTCCTGTGATACATTAGACAAAACATTCAAGCCACATGTCCTTAATATTTCACATTTTGGAGCTGTGGGTTTCAGTGATGGAATTGAAGGGTCTGAGCTACCCAAATCTGAGGGCCCTCTTTGTGCTGGAGCTGGACAGAAGGCACAGCATTTTGTCACTAGAGAACATCTTGTTGTTTCAGGATAGGAGTGGGAAAGTGGGATGTGAAACATAGACATGGTTTGTGCTGTTATCAGATAAATCCTCACGTTCCTTCTCCAGGTTATGAGTTATCTCCCACGGCAGCTGCGAACTTCACCCGGAAAAACCTCGCGGACTATCTGCGGAGTCGAGTGAGTGTCACTGGGGAGAGCTGGGAAAGGCCTACAGGGAACATTCCCATTCTCCAGTAGTGGAGTCTGATGGGAAAGGTGGGAGCTGCTGTTAGTGATATCAGATAAATCCTCACGTTCCTTCTCCAGGTTATGAGTTATCTCCCACGGCAGCTGCGAACTTCACCCGGAAAAACCTCGCGGACTATCTGCGGAGTCGAGTGAGTGTCACTGGGGAGAGCTGGGAAAGGCCTACAGGGAACATTCCCATTCTCCAGTAGTGGAGTCTGATGGGAAAGGTGGGAGCTGCTGTTAGTGATGGATTTGGAATGTGCTGCCCAGGGAGGGAGTCAATCCAATCCCTGGAGGTGTCCAAGACACAACTGGACATGGCACTCAGTGCTCTGCTCTAGCTGACAAGGTGCTGATGGTCACAGGTTGGTCTTGGTGATCTTGGAGGTCTTTTCCAGCCTGTGGTTCTGTGAGTTCACATTGCTGAAGGGATGTCTTAGTGAACCAGAACTTGATTTGCTTATTAAAAAAACTTATCACATCACTTATCAATAACTGATGCAGCTGTAGACTGAAAATTGCAGCCTTGGGCCCAGTAAACACTTTGTCACACACTGCAGACGTGGAGTGAATTAAACCTCTTTAACACTGAGATAAGGTTGTTGGTTTTCATGCAAATGCACCGAATCCGTTTAATCTTCTTGGGAAGTGATTTCATAGAGCAAAGCTGTTTGATGTACTTAGCAAAACAAGTGCCTTTTGTAAACAGCAGCACGAGGCTTTTGGTAAATAGCTCATCCGAGCTGGAGTTGTGTCTTCAAGTTACTGAGCTGCAGTCACTGATCTTTCTCTGGGTGATTTTTTCAAAGTGTGAAGAGCTGTTGTGAGGGAGCAAACAAACCTTTGGTGATCCAAGGTTAGGAAAGATTTCAGCGAGGACAATGTGAATGTGCTATGTGAAGGAAGCAGGAAAGAGGATGATGAGAATGCAGTTGATCAGCTCTGGGGGGGACAGATCGTGTTACTGTTCTAACCGAGTGCTGTTAGAGGTTCTGCAGTAGCAAGTCAATCCTCAGTGCTGTGTTGTTTAGCACTGTAGTTGTGTGGAGTGAGAGTTCTTCCAGAGCTCATCCCCAGGGGCAGCCAGAGATGACTGTTCTCGTTTCTGACATGGATCACAGCTGCAGCTCAGGAGTTTCCGACTCAGGATGTGACTCTACACTACTTTCTGGTTTAAATGGCCTCAGCCAGCTGTGTGGCTGGTAGGGGATGGTTGACACTGATGCTGTTTGCTTTAGCTCGTGCCCAGGTGTGGTTTGAAGGTCTGTGCATGTTTTGTGCATCCTGTGCAGGTTTTGAGGCCGACAGGAGGCTGTAATGCTGCTCAGTGCCTGGTCTGGGTGCCTGGTGGTTGCCAGGGGCACCTGACCTGCAGGGCTGGTGTAGGTGAGGCTGGCACTCAGTGTCCTGCCCTGCTTAAGCAGAGCCAGCTATTCTCTGAGATGATTTAAAGCACTTCTAACAGGCTTTTTGGAGAACTTGCCCATCAGGATGCAGCGTCGACGTGGCACCTTTGTCTTCCTCTGCGCCACATCCCCCGAGGCCTCATCCTGCCTGTGGCTCCCCTCCCTCCTGAGCCCACGCCTGTCTTCCAGCTCACCTGCTCCAGATGGGCAGCACAGTGGGGAGGACACTGGCAGAGGCAGATGTGTTTGTTTTCTGGAGACAAAACGCTGCTGTGGTGCAGATGGCAGCGCCCCGAGGCTCTCTGACACTGCTGTCACACTGCACTGATCCTGCTGCTCAGAGCCCTTCAACCACAGCACTCACTGAGGGCTTTGTGGGAGGTGGAAGTGCAGGATACAAGCCTTGCCATCAGAACTGTTGTTTTCCTGTGAATTTTGTTAGGTTTCATCACCAGAAGGACTAACACCAGTGCTCGGTGTCTGTTAAATTGCATGTGGGATTGCTGGGGGCTGCTCCTGTAGCATGTGGAGGATGGAGTGAGGAAATTGAAAGGTAAAACACACCACTGCCTCCTGTTAGGGGTGGGAAAATAGTTGAGGAATTAAGAGTAAGGGGAAGAGGTAGTTTTTTGCTGTATTGGCACTCACCCTGTGAAGCTGTTAGGGAAGGCCAAAAGGTGTGCGAAGGGGAATGGTTAAACTCCAGCAGGATTTGCTCAGGCATTAGGCTCCTGTGGCCCAGCTCAGACAGAGTTTGTTCTGTGCTGTTCAGCACCATCTGAGTTCCTCCCTGTTACCCAGTTTGATTTCATTTAGGAATCTGGTGGTTTCCATAGTCCATGTTCTGATACCTCGGGGTTGGCTCCTTCAGCAGTGCCTGGAAGTTGTTCTTCTGGTGCAAAGTACCAAGTGTAACGAGACCAGACTTGTACTTAAGGACATTTCATCACTGTACTCTTTTCTTCTGCTCAGTAGTCAATATGTGGCTGCCCCAGCCCTGGGAGTGTTCCAGGCCAGGTTGGATGGGGCCTGGAGCAACCTGGAGTTCTGTTGTCTGCAAGTTTCATTTGGGATCACAGAAGTACTAAACAGATTTAGTGTGTTTGCTAACGTGTAAGTCCTGCCTTGGGTGATTAATAAACCGTGGGGATACTTTATTTGGGTCTGAGTTTTAAGAAGCTCAGGCCATTAGCAGGAAAACAGAACCAGAAATCCGTTTGCAGGTGGGTTTGGGTCTGTGTGACACTATTTGTCTCTGGCTGAGCCTCTCCCCGATGCCAGTGCTGGTAACTCACACAGGAGTCTGAGTGATCTTGTGTCATGGCTCTTACACAGCGACTTGGGGGATGTTTCAGAGCAAATAAATGATGAAACAGACTAATTAAATGCTGCAGCTGCATGGGAACTTCTTTCCAAAGATTCGTGGATGCTTTGAAGATTAAATCACACCATGGAAGTGATGCTTGATACAGAACTGAGCCTGCTTGATTCTGACAGTCTGGAAGGGAAAATGGAGTGTCCCATGATTTTTGTGCTGTTTTTGAGTGGAAATTCACTGTGCTTAGTATCAAAACGAAGTTTTCGCTATGATACAGTTAATGTTTTGGCTTTAGGGTGAATTTCTGTTTGCTCGTTCTGATTTGTTGTAGTTGCATCATTGTTTTTCTCTCATTTTGTTGCTCTGTTGGTTCAGGATTTCCACATTTGAGAGATATCCTGTTAGTGCAGTTAATTTAATGAGAAACATTGTGTAGGGGTGAAAACACTGGAAGTGTATAAAAGCTGCTTTTAGAAAACACATACAATCCTCTATTTTTTTCCTGAGCCTACATGTAGAAATAATACAGTGCATGTGTGTTTCATGGTCTCATAAAGTGCAGGTCTTGGAAGGAGATGTGTGAGCAGGGGAAGGAATGGCTGGAGCACTAAATCCACAGCACGAAGGAAACTGCCAAATGTTAAAGATTAAACTTGGTACATGCAATAAAACTTGAGATTGCCAATGAAGAGGACACTGTGTGAGTGTCTGCACTGTGTGTGAGCTCCCACAGGCCCCAGCACAGGGAGGGCAGTGGGAAAGGGGCAGAGAGCAGGTTAGGTGCACAAAGAGTCCTCAGAAACTGCAAAATGTTCACCTTGTGCTCACGTGTGCGCAGTAAAAACCCACAGGTTCTGTGCTGAGATGAAAGAATCCGGTGTGAACACTCAATTCAAGTTTCCCTGACTTTGTGAAAGCTGTAAAAAAATCCCCAAACGCTCTGGTTTGCAAGAGAATCAGAGTCTTATGTTCCAGCTGCCTGTGCAGTCCGTGGCACCAGAAGACCTGATTGTTTCCAGGTTCAGACCACAACCTGCTGCAGGCAGAGGAGATGGAGTTCAGTCCCTTGGAGCAGTTTGTGGTGGAGAACTGTGAAACCAACCGTGTTGCTGCTCTCTGGGTGCACAGGGAGGTGAGATCCCGAGGGGTGGGTGATGCTGCAATGGAAACATCCTCTCTCTGCAGACCCCTTACCACGTGAACCTGCTCCTGGCTGGCTACGACGACCACGAGGGTCCTGCCCTCTACTACATGGATTACCTGGCAGCTCTGGCTAAGGCTCCTTTTGCAGCACATGGATATGGAGCATTCCTCACCCTCAGCATCCTCGACCGCTATTACAAGCCAGGTAAGGGGGGAGTGGGGAGGAAAATTCTCCTCTTCCTAGTTAACAGAGGCCTAAGCTGAGAGACTGACCTTTCCTGGGTCAGCTGGTGCAGTGCAGTTGCTGTGGTGCTGCAGGTTGGAGCTTTCAGTTAGGTAAATGCAGTTTTAAGGGTTCCCTGCTGCTCCTAGTCTGGTTTTAATAAGTAGCAGTTTGACAACTTATTTTTTTGCTTGTCTTGTGGCTGTGACATGTACATTCCCCCAGATTATCCATCTGCAGAGGGCAGTCCCAGGTCCTGTTGCTCCATGTCTTGGATTGGTTTTGTGTGATACATGAAAACATACAAAGGAAAAGATGTTCCTAGCAAGATTGTCTCCAGCACTCTTGAGCTGGTGGTGGTGGATCATGGATTGTGGGATGGTTTGGGATGCAAGGGAACTTAAAGATGATCCAGTCCCACTCCCTGCCATGGACAGGGACATCTTCCACCAGCCCAGGTTGCTCCAAGCCCTGTCCAGCCTGGCCTGCTCCAGGGATGGAGCAGCCACAGCTGCTCTGGACAGCAGAGGTTTGGGGCTGGTGCACAGTTGTGTGCATGTGGCAGCTGCTCATCATGATTCTTGTACATGTTTGTACCTGTCTGAAGTTTTAATTTTAGAACCATAATCCACTGCCAAGGGGTAAGCACAGCCCCATCCTCACTGCACAGGTGAGGAAATGTACAGAGCCTGGAACAGTGTTCATCTGACATCTTTGGCTTTGGCTACAAAACTCCTGTGTGCAAAGCTGAGTTTGAGTTACTGTCTCTGCTCTGAGATCAATCCTTTCATCCATCCCCTGCAAGAAATGTGGTGAACTGGCAACTCTGTTCTGAGGGAACTTCTGCCTGAACAGTGGATGCAGAGGAAACAAGTGGAAACAAGTCCAGCAACAAGTTTGGAGAGATTCTCAGAGCTTGGTTGTTTCCTAGTCATGTCCCTTCAAATTTCTATTGCTCCATTTTCACCATTCTTGTGGAACAGAGGAGAATAATGAGCTGCAGCATGTTGTTGTGGCTGGTGATCCCTCTGGAGTGCTGGACTTTATCCTGAAGTGTGAGAACAGCAGGAGCAGCCACACGTGCCGTGTCCATACGCCTGAGCCCCATCACCTCGTGCCCGGCCCTGCAGCAGGCTGGGGCAGCTTGAGCTGTTTTGGGCTGTAAGAGGTGGAGGAGAGGGAGGTGGCTGTGCTGCTCCAGAGCCTGAGCCTGGCCATGGGAGGCAGAATTCCGTCACGCTCCCATTCCCTGGAACAAATCGATTCCCAGTGGCTGCTCGCGGCGCGGCCTCGGCACATCTGGAGCGCGTTTGCTGCGGGCTGGGGAGGAGAGGTCTTGGTGCTCAGCTGAGAAGTTGTTTAAATTTAATAAAGTTTCTGTGGGGAGAGGTGGCCTCTAATGGAATCAATCTGTGGATGTTTCCCCTTTCAGGTATCACACGTGAGGAAGCTGTGGAGCTCCTAAAAAAATGCCTCGAGGAGGTGAGTTGCCAACCTGGTGATCCTGAGAAAGGAATGTTTGTTTGCTTTCGTTTGCTGATGTTTTCCTCTTCCTCCTGTCGCATTTTTTGCTGCCTTTGCCAGGAGGGTAATAAATGCACATTGAGCAGATGTGAAGCAGCTACTGAGCGGAAGGATTTGTGGGCAGTGAGTTGCCTGTGCACAGTTCACATCCTCCACAACATAAACTTTGAGCATAATTGCTTTTCTTTACTTCTGCTTCTTCTGTGCTTAGCATGACATTGGTACAGACCTTTCCCTTTTGTGTTTCTTCTGAACCTACTGCAGCATCTTTGTCACCTGTGTTAGCCTAAGCACTCTGAGAAGTACAGACTAGTTCTGTTCCAGCATGTGAAGTGATACCTGAGGTAAAGCTTTGACCTTTTTGCTCATGACCAACCTTAACAGAAACAGAAGACTCTAGACACTTCAGACTCCAAGGCTTTTGTTGTAGGCAAATAGTCTGTATCCTTGTCTTGAAGAGATTGAATTGGATGGAGCTCTGGGCAGACATCAGGGAGAAGTGCTCTGCAGAGGTCCTGTCTGAAGTGTCTGTGTGACGTGTGCACTTTGTGCT